GACGGTGTTTCATGTAGCTGCTTGGAAGAAGGGGCAGATACAGACACATTTCATACAACGATTGCATTAAACCTCCAAGTCATGGTGCTTTATAATCAAAAGACACAGGGCAGTGAAGGTGCTGTGGGATAATCTATTTTGAATAAATGGGGTGATTTCATATAAATAGTGATGTATTGATCAAACTCTGTGCACAGCACAAAGGTTTTCTTTTGAAACTCTCAGAATCTTTTGCATGGGGAATCACATTACAAGGACTGTTTTCATGCAAAAAATATGCATGTCGTTTATCAATCACACAATTAATCAATCAGACACTAGATATGTAATGTTATCTCCCTGCATTAAAGCTGCAAGTGAAATGCCACGAACTTCTCAAAAGCAGCGTCAGGAGATAAGACTGGGTTATATCAACGCAGATCAAATGCTGCACTCAAGCTCCAACCAAAAGCTGGGATTAATACCACACTGCCTGTAGCTCTGTGGTGAAGTTTATTAAAAGAAACTGGGTGAACAAAGTGAGCAGAAATTTTAATGCAGCTGCCTGATTTCCTGCTAACACTGCCTGCCGTGGGCAGCGGTGCCACTCTACTGATGGAGCAGCTCTCTTGAGCTTTGATGGAGTTTGGGCTTAGTCCTGTGACACAGGAGGGCACTAGCAGGCTCAGGAAATTCAGAAACGAAGGGCTGTACACTCTTCCCACTGAGAAGCTGTGCTGGCCTAAAGGGAAACCTCATATGAAATAAAATCAGGGTTCATTCTGCTCTCCCACCAGTGAGGCTCCCCACAGGGTCTCGGGTCATGCCAAATAAGATGCCATGGGACAGAAGTAAGGATTGGGATGTTGTGGCTTGGGGAGGGGATAGTTTTCTTCCAGCCTTCACACTTTCTTGTCCTTGACCTCAGGCTCAGCACCATCCTCCCTGACCTGGATTCCTGTGACTTGCAGATTTCAAGCTCAACACCATCACCCAAGCTTTCAAATCTTTGGCACCTAAACAGGTTTTGTATCAAGCAAATGGAACAGGCCAACTCCATCCTGGGGAGATGACAGGGTAACTCGAAACAGGGGACGCAAAGATGGAGCCTGAATTCACCTCCCTTCACTTCCTTTCCTGCAGAAACATCTCCTACAACCACAAGGACAACGTAGAGCGGTGTTAAGGAAAGCGTAAGACATGTGGAGAACTTTGTTCTGCTGCACAGTTCAGTCGCGTCTCAGTCTCTCTCCTCCCCAAGGGCTATGTAAGCACTGGTCCCTAGTGAGTAATTTTTCATTCCATTTGCTCTGTGTTTATTCTTGCTTCTCACTTTCTGATCCAACTCTCATATTACAAAAATCAGAGGGTTACTTTTATTACCTCGTTTGGACGCTGATCTTACAAGTTGGATGAACCAATTCACCCTTGTAATAAGAAAAATGAGACCATTTCTGGTTATATCGCCATTATTTAGGGGGGCAGCTATAAAAGTGTGCAGAAGAGGAGCGGGGAAAGAAGAAACCACAGCCTTGTAGTCTCTTCTTCCATGACTGAGTTTAAGTCACTTTAACTTGCCCTTCACAGCCACTGGAGGACAAAACTTGCATTTTACATATCCTCACACGTAACCAAGGGCTCTTGGTTCCTTGTGCCCACTGCAGATGTGTGGAGATTGTTTTTCACTTGTCCCTAACCTACTCTATTAAAACTTCTCACCCAGCACCAGGTCCACAGTGCCTTCAGAGGGAGCTTTCCACACATTTCCTCTCACCATTGCAGTATTTATGACAATCTACAGAGACTCTCCATGCCTCAAAGCCCTTGCAGCAGGTGCCAATGGCTTTACCTGCTTGAAGCGGACTGGCTGCACCGAGGTGGCTGATCTTACCCGTTGCCATTCCCTGAGCTCACCATGGTCATATGCTGGGCTGAAATTCAAAAGAGAAAGTAGCAAAGCTCCTCAACTTCAGCTGTCTCCAGAAGGAGCAGGCCTGTGGCAGGAAAATCTGTCTCATAGGAAGGATGAAGTTCCCCACCTGCCTTTGCAGAACAAGACAGCAAAAATCAGGTGGGGGATGAGTCTCCAAGTGTGTGCTCACCCCCATCACTCCTGTCTTCCTCTGAAGAGCTTCAGGCTCTTGTGGTGAAATGACACATTACAAGAAGACAGTTTGGAGACCTGAGAGACAACTTCACATCCAGATCATGCAGTAAATCAGGGATCTTCCTCCAAAATCCAGAGCAGGAATACAAACCATACTAAACAAATTCAAGCACCTTTTTAGTGCTAGCTATTATTGAATAACAACAACTGAGGTCATTGCACTGCTACATAGATCAAACTGAACTTAAATTAACCTGGAAAAAGGGTGAATCAGCATATGTCTCTTGTGAACAGCACCAGCATTTGTGTAATGTTGCTTCACTCTTCATTTAATAGCTACAGTCAATTTTTGAACAGCACCCACAGCTTTTCAAAGTGGAAGCCAAAAGAGCAAAAGTACTGGACTGTGCTGCAGAAGGCACCCTTGCAGACACACAGTCTTTAGTACTTCACAGTTGAAAGAAATAACTAATTTCCCCCTGTAAAAGTAAACCCTTTGATGAGCTTTGCTCCCAACTTGGGTCTCTGGGGGAGCACAGTAAAGCCAGACGGAAACCCATCACAGCAACAACACAAATAGCCTCACTGCAGCACTAAAACAGAGACATGATGCACCACACCCCAGATCGAGAGCTGACAAGAATCAAGTTACCCAAAGCCCCACTCTCAGGAAGGCAGAGAGGAGGTGGAGTGGTCTTGGCTACGGCTGGGACTGAGGCAGTACCAACATCCTTCAACTGTCATCTCCGGGGTCTGGCTGGCTACATCTTGGCACTGAACTTTTCAGGCATCTGCCTTGCTGCTCCTCACGTTGGAAGGTCTGCAAGTCTACAAAGTCTTCAGCCATTGACACTGTGTTTGTTGGTGATGCCTCAGTGCTCCCTCCGGAACGCTGAGCAGGCTGCAGCCGTACGGCTGCCGACACGGGAAGCGTTTCCTAAGGACAGCACGTCAGCCTTGCCAGTCAGGAGACAAATGCCAGTCGCTGCACAAGTGTCCTAGGTCAGAGGAGGAGAAAACATGCTCCTGCCTTCACTTGATCTCTCATGCAAAAGGCAAGCAGGCAGCATTTCCCAGGTACCACGGACATGCAGCATTTGGTGCCCACACCAGGGAGTGGACTGCTTTCAGGTGACGGGAGTGTCACCCGATTTAAACTAGCTTCGTATCTGTAAGATAAGCCCACTGCCCTGGGTGCAGTTTCACTCTTGGGCTAAGACTTCTTGAGGGGTAGGCAGGACTCCTTACTCCTCCATGAAGCCCTGCAAGGGGCCCAGGTGAAGTGGCCATTCGCCTCTTCTGCTTTGTTACCCGACACAAGTGCTGAGCAGCACAAGCCAGCAGAGCGTGGGCGCTCAGATGTCAGGCCAGTCTTTGGTTATCATGTTCCAGTGAGCCAGATAGACAGAAAATCCTGGAAAGTGAAGGAAGGTACAGCTGGCTACAGGCTGAGCACGGGAGGGCTGATTTACATCTCTCTGAGGCTGGTCCCATGTCTTACTTGGATTCAGGACTGCACACGCAGAGGTCAGCCACCAGCCCCTCGCTCCTCTCCAAACGCCTCCAGCTCCTCGCTGCCAAAGAACACCCACCTGCCAGCTCCCGCTGCTCGGAAAAACAATCCAGCTCATCTTTGTCCTTTGCACTACAACAGTTGTTTTCACTTGAACAATTCTGCTCCCCAGAATTTCATTCCCCCCACCCCTTCATTTTCCTGTAGTGAAATATAACTGTGAAGGCTTTGAGGAAGTTCCAGACAACATTGCTCACTCGGTTTCAGCACAGACAATTCCCAAATTACCATAATATCATGCACTGGCCTCAAAACCACCACACATCCACCACCCCCCTCCACAAAGGTTTCTCCCAAAATTCTATTATGTCATTGATAACCATCAGTTAATGAATAATAACAGCAGCACATGCCTTTAAGGGACCAAAACACTATATCTAACAGCCAGGACTGGGCTGTCACAGGAGGGACCACAGATCAAAGGGGAACGACTGACTCAGCTGCTTTGTTGCTAGACTGAAACAATTTATCTGAATCCCAGTAGGTGAAATTAAAACAATTTGCAGAAAAAAAGAACTACAACGTGAAAGTCTCCCCTTAACATTTGTCTCCAATAAACTACGCATGAAAGCCTCCCATCTCTCAGAAAAGGGCTAAGAAAGCAGGACTGGATAGCACTTGAAGAACAAGCTAATGAACACTGTTCTTAGAAAAATCTACATACCATTACTCCTCTGTTTTGCACTCTGTTGGTAAGGTTTCTACAGGCATTTTTAGCAGAAGAGACCAGAATCGGTCTGCTTCATTCCTGAGCCAGGGGAATCACTGCTTTACATCCCCATGTTATCAACCAGCTGAAGGCAAGAGATTTTTCCATACAGCTCTGTCGGCCCTCTATTTCTGAAGCAAAACCTGAGCCATCGTGTTCCAATTGAGGGCAATGAGCTACTTATTATTTATTAGCAGCTGCAACACTTGTGACAGCAGCAAGCATGGCCCGAAGGCAAGTCAGCGAGGCTGTCATGAGATCCAGCTAGAGACAAGGTGGACGCAGGGTCAGGGCAGGCAAACACAGTGATAAGTGTGATGGCAACACACGGCATGCTATTTGTCAGATCCGAGCGCTGTTTAGGAGGAGCTGAGCTGAGCAGCCAAAGGGAAGGAGGGAGGCAGAGATGCGGCCACATGGGAAGTGGAAGGAGAAGGGCTGGAGGTGAGCGATGCCTGTGTGCACAGTGGTGCTGCCCTCGTTTCCTGGGGCAGAGCCACCACCAAAGCAGATTCCTTGCTGAGAACAGAAGGACAGACACCTGACCTCTCCAGGGCTGCCAAATCAACATCTTCTTCATTGGCAACTCTTGGAAATGTTTGCTAAACAGTAGAATAAAGGCGGGTCCTTACCTTGGCCTCAAGCGTGTTTAGTCTCTCGGTCATATCTGCTAGTCTCGTGCAGTTCATGCATTCTAGAAAGAACAAAACAAAATGATGTAAAATTTCTATGTCCTTTGCATTTCAATCCATGAGTTTCAGTCTGCAGACCCTGATCCATTTTGATCCAAAGCAGACAGAAAAGTGATTCAAGATCAGTTATCAGGGGAAGGTAAGTATTCAGATCCATTTCAGAGGGAAACAGCCACAGCCATGTTACGTGAACCTTGCCTGGGGATGTTTAGCAGGGCAGAGCGTGAAGCCAAGTTCCCAACAGGTAGAAGGTAAATGAAGAAAAAATTAGTTTTACGACTTTTCATGGTGACAACCTGCATGACCTGTTGTCACCAGCAGAGATTCTTGTTCTGCCACGGATGCAAGCTGGTGTGGGACATGCTCCCACCTCTCAGGGTATCAGGTGCACAGCCACTGCTCCATTCAGCTCTGTGCTGTACCTATACTATGTCCGGGTCAAATACCAAGGAGAGTAATGAACACACAAACTGCCCATCTCTGTGGAGTCCTGTTCCATCCCTGGGTTCCCAGGCCTTGTTAACACTCTGACAAGAAATCATCAGTCTCAGTGACAGCAAGAAAATCCAAGACAGACCCCAGGCCTGATGCAGGCTTGGAGCTGCAGCACAAACTGGTTTCCATCTCACTTTGCAGCATAGAAGCAACAGATAGGCAGCAACTACTAAAGGGGTCTCGACAGGATGCCTCAGCAAGAACAAACGTTAACGTAATGGGCTCTGAGTGCAGTTTAAAATGATTGCTTGATACAAAGAACATCACTTATCTAAACAGAAGGCCTGCTGCTCTGCTTCTATTTTCATTTCAACAATTTGAAAGTGAGAGGATAAAGCCCTGAACAGAGATTTAATCAACAACTCGCACGTTGCAGCAGGGTTGAACTGCCCATTCCCATCTCTCAGAGAAGCTTCTCAGACTGGACCACTCAGCTACCCTGACTCCTGAAGCGCAGCAGTTTTTAAAATTGGAAAATGACTTGCAGCATGAAGTATTTCAGAGAATAAACCATCCATATTCAGGTGATGAATCACTGCCATCTCATGTCCCACAGAGGAGAAATACATATCTGTGTGCATTTCTGCACTCCTTAAGCACCAGAGCCAGTTTTCATTGACTGGAAGAAATATTTAACCCTGATATATTTTTAAAATTTTAAAAATATAGAAAAATTATTAATTATTTCTATATTTAAAACATCAAAATTTTATCAATTATTTCTATATTTAAAATATAGACATATTTAGATTTTTCATTTTATGGAAGAAATATTTAACCCTGATATTTGTATGGGGCTGGGGAGACTGACCTGTGAAATTCTTGAGCCCCGTTAATTCAGACGCAGCTCAGGCTGAGGTTTTAATGATGCAGGGGATGTTGAGTAAACCCAGTGCCTACCTATGGCAAGGAATGGGTGAACATGGGTTTTGGCCTGACTGAACATCTCCCCGACACCTAGGACTCAGTTGTTTCCCCTAATAAGTTTTGTCCCCTTGTGCACAAGGAGCCCCGAGGAATCTCCCCAGTCGTGACCCACAAACACTTCTCAGTTTTATGAAGCACACGGTATGTACTGATGGCTCTCAGCCATGCAGAGATTTTAGCCCATGGCTTGGAGGGCCAGGATACTTGGCTGTTCCACGTTAGTGATTTACAGTCAAAGAAGACTGCTTGAGTGCTAATGGCAACCAATCACCCATTGCATAAACTTTCCAAAGAAATTCTCTTATTGACCCTCTATGAGGAGCTGTGTAGCTTCCCAAAGGAGCTTCCACCTCACGATACCTAACATTCTGCAGACAAAGCATCTGATGGTTCAAGAACACTTAGATTGAGGGATTTCCTCACAGGTCAATACTGACATGGACTTTTTTTTTACCAAATAGGAAATAACATTTGTTTATTTTTATTCTCTACAATAGATTTTGGCCAATATTATTTGAATTGGCCCATGAATACGTAAGTGCCATAAGTGCATTGTCCCACAGGGAAGGAAATGTGTGAGGCTTGTTTGGTCTGGATCTGCTTGTGGTGTGTACAACAGGGAATTACATTCTGCATGTAACCAGCTTCATGCTCTTGATCTTGCTCATCTCCATAGAAAGATAAGACTGAATAAATCCAGTGCTCCCAAGAGTCAACAGGCATACCAGATGTGTTACAGAGCAAATAAAATACGGAGTCCTATTCTCCCTTCTGCTGGCTTGCACATATTAATAACACCCATATATTTAGAGAGACTGACTTGAACTGTCTGAAAACCATCTCTGTGCATGATTTGAGATGGATTGATCATTTAAGCTCTCTTTGGAGAGCTCAGCTCATAAAAAAGGGCTTGTACTACCCCTCTGCATAGGGGTGAATCAACCAGCTCCCAGTGGGGAGGATACTCTGATCGTCTCTGCCAGAGTGTACGAACAGCACCAGTCCAGCAGCCCTCTCTGCTCTGGAAGAGAGTCTCAAAGAGCCATCTCAGGTGTGTTTGCAGCACACCAGGTTAGACTTAAATGCGCAAAATGACAGAAGTGGGGATGAAGCAGCAGTGCCACTGCATGGTGAGATTTGTACTAGTATCATCTTCATGTCAGAGATGCCTGCTGAAACATATGGAAAACACAGCTCAGGTCAGAAAGAGAAATACTTAAGCTCAAGTTGGATTTGAACTCTGATCCTTTCACTTGTGAAATGCCTGGAAACCCAGAGCCACACCCAAGGTACTTAGTCTGGACCCAAAAAACATTTAACTAATCCAGAAAGTGGACGTCCTAATGCAAAAGATCTTCTTACTAAAGGAAGCCACCCTGCCAGCAAATCCTTATGACATTTATTTTGCTAACCAACAGACAGATGATGCTTTCAAACACAGAGATGAATGCTCACTACTGCAGTTACAGAAACTACTTTCAAAGCTTGCTCACAACACACTGGGGACCCGGCTGCTTCAAGGTCTACGGTCATTATCCGTCCTTGCAGAAAGCCTGAGAATGGTGGTGACAAATCAAGCTAATAAACATTTTCCTTGACTACTATGCACTGAAGTATTTAGTGTCTAATCCAGATGGCTGGTGGCTCCAAGACCTGGGACTCTGAAGCTGCATTTTCTGACCAGGGTGAATGCAGTCTGCTTTATTAAAATGAACTTGAGAATCTCACATCATCATTTCACATGCAACGGATATAACGTTGGGGCAAATACACATACTCTCTGACCTGGAACTCCAGAGCAGACGGTTTCCATATCTGCAGAAACCCATCACTTATTGCTACACAGAACCACAGTTTATTTCCCTCGTATTCCTAGTTGGCAGATTTGTATTTTTCCAGCTAAACTCCAAGAAAGGAGTTGTGATTTCACTCTGTGAAGCCCAACCTCAAAACACATGGTAGGATTTGTTTTAGAAGTGTTCCAGCAGGGAGGATAAATAATTGAGATAACGAACAGGAGACTGTACCAGCATATCGCGTGACACCCAGTCTGTCTCCGTAACGTCTCGCTGTTAGCGTCCTAGCGCAGCTCTCCCTTCCCATTCCCCTCCCCGGCTGTGTGGGTAAAGCAATGCAACTGCAGGGAAAGAAAAGTCTAACATACCAGAGATGTGGTAGAGTTGGTGAAAGCAAGTCATGGACCCTGTGCCAGCAGCAACCCACTTAACCCTGATCCAGTGGTTGCTATGTTTGACACATCTTCGATTAAAGGATGAGCCAGTGCCTCCAGTGCTGGAAATGGGCACCTGTGGCTTCCACTCCACATATGCTCCTATGCCAAGAGATTTACAGCAACGAATGACTGACTCTGGGTGCCTTGCTAACTTGGTGTTCCCTCTTTGCAGCGTTTGCATAATTACATTAGTAAATAGTTGCACAATTCAGCTGCTCAAGGCTGAAAGCCCCACAGGTCTGCTCACTCAGACTGCTCACTCAAAACAAGAAAGGTGTGAACTGGCTTTGTAACAGTGGGGCTCTAATGATTTCAGCACAATTATCACAGAGGCACTGAGGGAAGGAAAAAAAAAAAAAAAACAAAAAACCAGCCCAACTTTCACCACAGGGCCTTAGGTCAGAGTTTTGTGCAAAACGGCAAAGAAACCTCTTGGCATCTCTGCCCCATTTCCCAGCTCTGACAGCCCATGATCATTTGTACACCCAGAGTCTCTGCAGAACATTAAAAGGGCTTTTGGTTTCCCTACAGCCAAATGCTCAGTAGATATAAATTGCACAGCTCAACTGAAGTCAAGGGATCAAGGCTCTGTCTCTCTTTTTCTTGATGGATTACTCCAAAATTCATATTTCAGAGGGGAGAGAGAGGAGGTGGTTTTCAGCATATGAAAGGAGAGAGAAATCTGGAATCACAGCCTTTGTTTAAACAAAAAAGTCTTTGCAGCCCGTTTTTTCAACATTTTTTGTATTTTGCCATTACAAGAAACTTCAACCTTGCAATGCAATGGGGCATAGCACACAGTTAAGTTCCAGGACATAAGAATTACATTTACAGCTCATGCTTCAACCTGCTCAGGGGCCTAAACAATGCACTTTCCTCCTCTGAGTCTTACTTTCCTTTCATCCATTGTTAGTGTAATGTTTCTTCTGTAAAGCAGCCGAGGTCAGAGGATGAAAAATGGCCAACTGTTACCTACACACAGAGACATAAATGAGCATATTTGATTTCTGTGATAAAACCTGCCTGGCAGCTCTTCTCTTTCCATATAATAAAGTCCACCACTTCCATTGCACTTTTCAGAAATGGACACGCACAAAGGGGTCAAACCCGGTTATCCCCAGGGTAGGGGGAGCAAGTCAGAGCTGCGCGAAGGCCGTGCCAACAGCCCGTGTTTACAGCGCCAGGAACACCACAGCAGCTCCACAAACCACGACACAACAGCTTTAACTCTGCAGTCAGGACTACTCAGAGCAGGTCTCCATGCACCACACCGTTACAGTTCAAGGTGTACTGTCTTACCAATCAGGGACACACAACTTGAGTAGGTCCAGTTTGAAGAAAATTTTA